TTTTTTAAATGGAATTTGAAGGATTTTGATACTAGCATTCACGAATGAAGGGGATGTTCAATCCTTTTAGTAATTATAGATGAATCAAATTTAAAAATTAAATAGTGAAGATATGGGAGAGATAATGGAAATATAGTTTGTAAAAAAATGTTTATTCGAGAATACTAAGGGCGTGTTTGCGATCACTTTTATTTTTTATTTTGAGTTTTGCTTAAAAATGTTTATTCGAGAATACTAAGGGCGTGTTTGGGATCACTTTTATTTTTTATTTTGAGTTTTACTTTTATTTTAGTGTGCTTATTGCATTTTTTTTTTAAATAAATTAGCTTGTTTTTGAAAACACTCTAAATATCTAAAAGTTGTTTGGATGTTGTTAAAAACAAGTAAACATGTTATATAATACATATTTAGTTTTAAATCAAAATAAATTAATAAATTAAAAACACAAAAAAAAAGGTGATCTTAAAAGACCCCAAAAATTTTGCATGTAAACAGTTTCTTCTTATACTGATAGAAAGAATTTTTATTTTACAAATTTTATGATGAGTTCAAAAAAGAATTCAACTACACAATTTAAACTAATAGCTATAACTATGTCTTAATATTAACAATCAAAAGAGGTTATTGCTGCAGGATAAGATGTTGGAATATTAAAGTTGAAGTTTTTTGTCTCTCAAAATATTTTGCTCAGGAAGTTAGAATTCCTTAGTTGAGCAAAACATGATGTAAGATAAAATGGCTAATTCCATTTTGAGGATTAATGTAGAAGCTTTAAGAGATTTTAGAACTGATCTAATGTCCCCTAAATATTTTTGGCGTGTTTATTTGTATTTTAGATTTTTTTAGGTGCTTAATTTTGCCCCTCCATTCACTAGAGAAAATTTATTAGTTTTGGAGAACCAATTTGCTTTCATGCCATGAGGATGTACCATGGAAGAAATGTATATTTTTAATGAAGTAATGGATTAGTATATGGAGCAAGGATATGATCTTCATAGACATTAATTAATCCTGAGAAAAAATATGATTAAATATCATAAGAATTAATTTGTTATGCATACAGCAAGAGTATTTATGTTAAAGGTATATTGATGTTATTAAATTTACGTGATGGAGCGCTGACTAATACTAGGAGTAATTATAAAGTGATCAAAGTGTCTTCAAATTTAATATGTTTCACTTTTAAATCCATGTGATATCCTCTTATCAAATAAAGCTCTAAAGATAACTATCCAGCTTAACAATCAACCTTTAACTTCTATCTCCATTCTTTGTAAAATAGATTCAAGATAACTTAACCAATCAAACTAGATATCACCATATATTCCAAAATTATTGATTCATAATTGTTAATATCGGAAATGCTTAAATTATATATTATATATTCGGTGTTTGTTCTAGTAATTATGAGTCTTTTATCTCCTGAATATTTTCTCTATTATTCTATTTTTTTTGGTTATTTCAATGAATGTCTCCGCAATTAGAAGTATATCATTAAAAAAAAATATAAAACAAGGCACATTACTTTGAATATCCATTAAGAGCATCTCCATAAACAATATAAAAAGATAAGGACTGTTCGAAGTGATTTGCAAAGAAGAACGTCTCAGACAATTCTCAACAAGAATGAATAAAAAATAAGAATTCATACATCTGATCCCAAATAGTTTAGATGATGGTGATGATGACAACGTCATATATATTACAGGCCCAATTTTATTTTATTATTAGAAGTTCCAAAAGTGACATATTTGTTGAGGCAATCCTAAAAAAAAATAGAGAAAAAAATATCTTCACACGATTTTTAATAGTCTTAAGAAGTGAATTTAATGCATATTATGAAAAAAAAAAGTGTCTTAAAGTTACGGTGAAATTATTATTGATATGCATATGATGGAGTATTACTTAGTGTTAGTAGATGTGTGGTAATGAAGTTTTTAATCATAATAGGATCATGTCAAGGATCAACATTAAATTTGTATTTTTTAATATTGCTTAAAAAAATTCTCACAAAAGATAGTTATCATGAATTAATTTTTTATATGATTTTTATCATGATATAACTCAATTTGATGAAACCTCTCCCTAAAGAAGCTTAATATTAGAATAACAGTTTTAAGTGTTCATAAGATTAAGAGCTTGGGATATATAGATTAATGATTGAGCATGATGTTTGAATAATGCCGCTAGTGTTGATAAGATAAAGAATTTATGATTAATAGATCAATTCTTGTGTAGATGATATGCAAATTTAAGAATTATGATATTAGTAATTTATCAATAAATAACATTAAAAGAAAGCGTTACTGAGGTGTGCTAGGTTTAAGTATCTTGGGCCTATCATGAAAAATTATAGGGATATGGTAGTACTATAATTTCTAGCATTAAGGCCGAGTGACTGAAATTAGAAAATGTTTTTTGGAGTTCTATTACAAAACAAAATTTCACGATGGTAAATTTAATTTTAGAGAACTTCAAATCGTTTGCCTTTGTTGTATGGATTGGAGTATTGAATGGTAATAAGTCATTGATAAATAAATTGAGTGGGACAGAAATACACTGAGTTATTTTGACAAAATTAGAAAAAATAGATTGAGAAATGATTATATGATTAAGTTTGAAGGGTGTGGGAGTAATATATATTGGGATAAGGTGATGAAAAGTAGACTCTAAGATGGTTTGGGAAGTACAACATTGACAGAAGATACATCAATAAAAATAATTAATAATGTGCAAAAAATAAGAAAAAATTAAGTAAATCTAATTTAACATTGATTGAATTTGTATAAAAATATATAGGTTTAACATCTCCCGAAACTCTAAATTGGAATAAAGGAAGAATGCTGATTCATAAAGCTAACCACAAAATAGTTGTTTATGGCTTACAATGATGATGATTAATTTATGGCTTTGACGGTTCGGAACTTCCTCATACACTTATTGAATGCAAGAAGCTGTTATTCTTTTTTGTTTTATCGGATAAACTTCTTGATTTGAGATAATTTATTTTTAGCTCCCTTGCTGTTATTGAAGAGTTCGATTTGTATACATTTGGCAAAATTTTCCTAATTTTCTGCTTATACTATGGTTTTTAGCTTGGTTGCATGTATGTTTCCATAATATCCCCATACATTATGTTAAATTACTAAATAAATGTCATTTTGATACAGGAGCTTATAGATGTTGAAGGTGATGGCATGGCAGACATGGCGTTTCGTTGCATTCAGGAAATGGATATTGATAATAGGATGATGGTATTGATAATAATAAAATTACTGCAATGACTTGGCAAACACTTCTGATTTTTATTCCTTATAAATGTTCACTAAGCGGACCAAAATTTGACCCTTTGGTTGCTTCAGCTAATTAAACTTCTTTTTAATATATCTATATTAGTCGTTTTCTTCTATAATATTGTTGAAAACTGTAATGCTTTTATTTTAATTTGATAACCAATCTATTAAAAATTTGACAAATCAGCAAACTGAAAACACCTTTTTATTTTCATCAGAACGTGACTAGCTGGTGCGAGGACATTCAGATCTACCAGATTATATATTTACTCCTTGTGGTGATCTTTCTTAATTTTATCAGTCCAATTTAGGGGTGTGAACAAGTTGAGTTGAGCTTGAGCCACCCTCAGCTTGAGCTTAATTAATTAATTTTATGAGCTGGAGCTCAAGCTTGATTCTATGAGTTCGAGCTGATTCATGAGCTGGCTTATCTATTATGAAAGAGAGAAAAACAAAACTAATTCAAGCTAGTGTTATAATAAAATGACAAATAGAACGAGCGATTAGGAGATAATAAATTAGAAATCACTTTTTATAATATGTAAAATATGTTTCTCTAAACTTTTTAATAATTTAAAGATAAACTCCTAAATTTTAATATATTTTATATTTGTTATGGAAAGTAGTATACTAGAATATATTTTATATTTGTTATGGAAAGTAGTATACTTGTATATTATCTTTTTTGTATAATTTAAAGATACTTGTATATTAGGAAGATTAATATTAAATATCTAATTAAAGAAGATCTAATGACAAGATCTTTTTTGTATTAGAAATATTTCTAATCTATGGAGATGGGAGAGTGTATAAATATGCGTTCAATTACGAACAAAAAGATTTGCTTCCCTCTACATGTTATTAGAGCTTTCATCTGCTTCGCCTTCATTCTGCAATGAGGATAGCTTCTCTAAATTAGCTTTGTCTGTGTAGATTGTCTTCGTCGGCTACATCTACTCCATTGTTCAAAGCTATCTGCTTCGTCGATCTGCACAATTTGTTTCGTTGGCCGACCTCGACTGCTTAGATTCATTTGAGTTTGTTCGCCTCGGTAGCATCTGCACAGAGGAATGCTCAATTTGTTTGGAAGAGACGAACCAGAGGAGTCACGGTTTTGAGCCGTATTCATGGATTTTTCTACTTCGATCGCCTTCGTCCCGATTTCGAATGATTGTGCTTGCTCGTAACCCTCTCATCAGCTCGTAGAGTTCGATTTATCTGCTCGATGGCGTCGCGGTTTCGAACAACAACCCTTGCTCTAGTGAACCCTTGTTGCTATCTTTTCTTTGTATTAGAAGTGGGAATTCCAGAGTTGACTATCAAGTTGCCTCATTGTCTGGAAACAAAGCCGAACCAAATTGCTTGGTCTAAGACTTCCTGAACTGGCTCAATGTTTTTTCAATCCTCAAAAAAATTGGTGAACCATTCGATTTCTAGAGAAAGTTTGAGTTCCTTAATATTTTTCCTACAAGTACTTTGGCATCATCTCCTTTGCGCCATCCGGAAACAATTCAAATTATTTGATTGCTCGGACCATGCTACGAGATTGCATCATCATTGAGATTCATCGATTCAAACTCGTTGAATATAGGGTGATAATCATGACTATTGAACAAAAATATCTTGTGACAAATTTGGTTTAATTATGGCTAAAATTACTAATGTGAAGTTAAAGGACGTCAAATACTTTTATTAAAATAAAACTGTGAGACTCTACATAAGGAGTACTTCTTAAGAGAGTTATCTCATTAATAATTCCCTAGTCGAGTCTTATCCAAATTATTCTAAGTGGATGAGAGTTGATGCTCAGCTCTTAATACAAATACATAATTCTATCAAACCCGATCAATCTAGTCGTATCAATTGTTATGACTATATTAAAAATGCGATGAAGGAATTAACATTTTTATTTTCCAGGATAGAAAACATTTCTCGAATCTTTGATGTTTGCAAGGAGTTCTATGGAACTGAACAACATGATCAATCTCTTAACATGTATCACATGCACTTTAAATGTGTTCATGAAGAATTGAATGCCCTATTGCCTTTTAGTACTGATGTCCACATTCAACAGGCTCAAAAAGATCAAATGACTATTATAAGTTCTCTAGCTGGCCTCAACTCTCAGTATGAAGGTGTCAACTCACATATCTTATTTGATTATGGAGCTACTATTTTGAACGAAGCCTATAGTAGAATGTTGTGCACTATTTGAAGATCTCAGACTTTATTCGTACATCAACCTTGTGCTCTTACTAATCAAAAAAATATAAACATCAGTAAACCTTAGCCTCATGAGAAGCATAATGAAACTCCAAATTTTGGAAATCAAGGCTTTAAAGTAGTTTTCTATTAGTGCCATGAACCTGGTGATACGAAAAAAATGTGTTAGAAGTTGCTCAAGAAGAATTAGAAGTGCTCTAAATCACAGTTTGCTCACATGTTCACTACTAATGAGGCCAGATGAATGGAATGCTAAATTCATTCAATTTCAGGAAGCATCCAAGAAATCTACCTCTATTTCCGCCCTTGCTTAGTCAGGTAACAATGATAGTTGCTTTTTCTCATCTTTCACGCAATTTGTCATTGATTCTGGTGCTGCAGATCACATGACAGACAATCCAAAACTCCTTTTCACTTTTCATAAATAATTTTCTTCCATTACTTTATCAGATGGTTCTACCTCTAGCGTTTTTGGTTCTAGCACCATTAGTATTACACCTACATCACCTTTAAATTCTATCCTCAATTTACCTCTTCTCTCTTTCAATCTTGTCTCTGTTAGCAAAATTACGTGCTCTTAATTGTTGTATCTTATTTTTCTCTGATCATTGTCTTTTTCAGGATTTTTATGATGAATAAGATTATTGGTAAATGATGAGAGTCGTAGGGACTATACACTCTCGAGAACGAACACCTCAACCCATAACTTGCTCCAACACCTTATATCCTTTTGAGGTTTATTGCCAATTAGAACATCCATCATTTTTAGATTGTGATTCGTGTCAATTTGTTAAACACCATCATTTGTCTTTTGTTCTTAGAATTAATAAAAGAGTTGCTTATAGTTCTGAGTTGGTTCATTTTGAGACATTGTCCTGCTTTATTTAATGGATTTCAATATGTTTTATTACTTTCATGGATGATTTTCTCATATGACTTGGTTGTACTTTATGAAATCAAGTACTGAGTTATTGTCACATTTTAAATCCTTTTGGGCTGAAATTAAAACTCATTTTAATATTTTGGTCAAAATTTTGAGAAGTGATAATTTCAAAGTATATTTTTCTACAGTGTTACAAACATACATGACATAATATTGATCACATATCATCTTTTGCTGATTCTTCCTCCCAAAATAAATTAACTAAAAGAAAAAAATTGACATCTTTTGGAGACAATAATATCTCTTTTGTTTCAAACTAGTGTGTCCAAACAGTTTTGGGTTTATTTTGTTTCTACAGCATGCTTTTTGATTAATTGAATGTCTTCTACTCATTTACAAAACCAGATATTTTACCAACTATTATTTTCTTTCCCTTTCAATCATGTATATTTGGTGTACTTTTTTTTGTTTGTCATGCTCCCCCATAGGTTTCTAAACTTGACCTTAAGTCATTAATGTGTCTTTATAGGATTTGCAAAAAGGATATCAATATTTTTCCCCTCTTAAACAGGTACATGATTTTTTATGTTGTCACTTTTCATGAAAAAATCTCATTCTTTGGGGACTCGTCGTAACCTAAATCTCCACAAGATTCTGATGAGTTGTTAATGTATCATTATCATCATTTCAGATCTTGATCTAGCTTCCCATCCATCACCAGTGCCTTAGCCTAGACCACCTATCACTAATGTTTACTCTATAAGACCTTGCCCCCCTTACCCTTGGCTGACACCGCTATCATCTTCTTCAGTGGATCCTCCTAGTGATCTTTATCTACTAATTTTTCTTTGAAGAGGTAAACATCAATGTTCCTATCCCATTTTCTCTTATGTTAACTATAATCAATTATATTCTACCTGTTTGTTTATTACTTCTCTTAACTCTATTGAGATCCCAAGATCTGTTCAATAAGCCCTATGTTGTTTTGTGTGGCAGGCAGCGATGCTTGATGAAATGAATGAATTCAAAATGCAATTTGAGAACTAGTTGAACTACCAACTGAAAAGAAGGATTTTGGTTGTAAATGAGTTTTTACAATCAAATTTTATTTTGATGGATTTATAGCTCGTCTCAAAGCTCCGTTGGTTGCTAAGGATTATGCTCAAATTTATGGGATTAACTACTTGGACACATTCTCTCTCATAGTTAAGTTGACTTTGAATCACCTCTTTTTGTCTTTAGTAGCAATGAATAATTGACCCATGCACGGACATGATGTGAAGATATTCCTTCTACATGTTGATATTTTAGAAGAGGTATACATGGAGCAATCTCTTGGGTTTGTTGTTTAAGGAGATTTATATCACTTTCCGAAGTCATTATATGGGTTGAAGCAAAATCCTCGACCATTTTTTGAAAATTTCAACTAACCATTAGAAGAGTTTGGGATGCAGAAAAGTAAAAGTGATCATACTATATTTTAGAAGCATTCTATTTATGTGATCATTCTTCTAGTGGTGTATGTTGATAACATTATTATCACTAGAAGCAATGTGTAGTGAATCTTATCGGTAAAATCATTTCTCCAAAATCAATTTAACACTAAATATCCGAGTTCTTTGAAATTTTTTTTGGGGATTGAGGTATCAAGGAGCAAGAAGGGTATATTTGTATCTCAAAGAATGTATGTATTGAATTTATTAGCAGAAATTAGGAAATTAGGAGTCAAATCATGTAATACTCATATGCTTTCCAATCAACAACTTACTTACCAATGATTGAGAGCCATTTAATGATCCAGAATGATATAGTAGGTTAGTAGCACTATAAGTTAGTTCATTTCTCCCCTCTCAATCTATCATTGGTCAACTTTGGAACAAATACTATGTTACATTAAAGAAGCTTCCAGAAAATGTATTCTACATCAGAACCATAAGCTAAAAATATTGAATATTTCGCTGATGTAGATTGAGCAAGTTGCAAGATTGCTCAAAGTATCTATTACTGGATAGTGTTTTTGTTGGTGACAATTGGTCTCATTGAAAAGTAAGAAACAAAATGTAGTGTCACAATCCAGTGCAAAATTTGAGTATCGGGCAATTCCACAAGCTTCGAGTGAATAGTATGGATCTCTCAATTGTTAACTGAAATGGGTTTTAGTTGACAGCTTCAACAAATTGTGGTGTCATAACTAAGATGTAATTCATATTGTTTAACCCCTCGTCTTCCATGAACAAATTAAGCACATTGAGATATACTGTTATTTCATTCGTGAGAAGATTCAACAAAACTTTTATTTATAAAGCTCTTGTAAACACTGGAGAGCAACTACGGGATATTTTTACGAAGATACTTAATGGAGCTAGGTTACTTTTATTTGTAACAAGTTGGGCATGAGAAATATCTATAATCCTGCTTGAGGGGGATTCTTATGGAAAGTAATACATTAAGAAGCTTGTACATTAGGAAGATTAATATTAGATTTCTATGATGAAGTCTAATCACAATTTATTTTCTATATTAGAAATATTTCTAATTTATAGAGATGAAAGTGTGCATAAATATGTAAAATGTGTGTTCAATTATGAATAGAAAGATTTGCTTCCCTTTACAATATTGATGTTTTTTTAAATGAGGCGGTTCATGAGTTAATGAGTCGAGTCAGGGCTGACTTAAGCTTGACTTGTTAGCTCATCAAACTTAACACATGAGCCACTTATTGAGCTGAGCCTGCTCCTCATCAAGCTTAGCTTATGAGCCACTTATCGAGCCAAGCCTGACTTGGCTCACGAGTTGGCTTGGCTCAGTTACACCTCAGTGCAGTTGTAAAGGCTTATAGATTTATATCATTTAAAAGAATACTTAAAACGCATGCAGAACATGAATTAAATGAATTTTAAAACTGTTACACCTCACCTCATTTAATAGCATACTTAAACGCTCAGTTACACCTCAGGGCGAAAGTATGAATTAAATGGATTTTAAACCTGTTTTAGGGTTGGAGTCAGTGGATATTATTTGAGTCTTGTAAATTTTTATAATAGCCCTGATTTCTAGACAAAGCTTGTCTGAAGTAGTTGATGTTTTTACTCGGCCAATCAAATTTATCAGATATTGAGTAGCATTCCCCTAATTTGAATTTGATGATGGGTGAAATTAAAACGAAGGGGTGCTAAGAATTATGCTATATTTGTTTGAAGAATTTAAAATTCAATTATCAATGAAGTAGAAACAAGTTAAAAGAAAAAAAAAAGAGAGTATTGTAAATTCAATGTAAACATTATTGTGTATATAATGCATGCAATGGAAATTGTCTGACAATATGATTTTGATGGGGTACAAGACAGCATTTTAGATTCCACATGACATTTTACAATCCTCTCAACATTTGGCATTTTAAGCAAGGTTGAAATTCCTCGGTTTTCTTTTAATTAACATTGTTAGATTGTTACTCCTTCAGTGATACAAATTAAAATAAAATACAAAATGAAATACTCCATAACTGTTTCAACTTTACATTCTTAGGCGTGATGAAGATATCGCTCATCTTATTTGAATAATTGATCATGATATTTTTGATGTCTCTGCCACTAGAGCTACACCAACCCTATCACGGATATAGTCATTCCGCATTTTGTCACCAAGTGTCCAATCACTCATCCACCTAAGCATTCTCATCTCATCAATACTTAAGTTTGTTCTATGTTCTCTTTTAAAGGCCAGCATTCTACACCATAGAGCAGTGCAGGCCTCAATACCATCTTATAAATTTTCCCTTTTAAGGGTCCGTTTGGGGCAGCTTATTTGGTGCGGTGATGTTTTGAAAACGCACCTGGCCTATTTGGGTAAACTGAGTTTTGGCAGCTTATGAGTTTTCAAAACGCTAAAAACATTGTTTTCACACCACACTTATCTAGGTGCGGTGGCGGCTTTCTGATTGCGGTCTGATTTTTTTTAGGGTGTGTCCTTTCTTTAGGGGGCATTTACATACGTACCACACAATTCTTATGTATTTACATATCTAACATCTATATATTCATCTTTACATGCATATTATTGGCCTAGCTTGAATAAGGGAGATTAAAGGCCCGTTTAGGGCAGCTTATTTGGTGCGGCGGCGTTTTGAAAACGCACCTGGTCTGTTTGGGTAAACTGCGTTTTGGCAGCTTATGCGTTTTCAAAACGCTAAAAACATTGTTTTCACACCACACTTATTCCTTTTTTTTTTTCCATCTATATTTTTTATAATCAATAATCAAGGCAATGTATACCAGCAAAACATAATAGGGGCATTTACATTGATACCATGCAATTCCAAGGCATTTACATATCTAACAACTAAACATTCATATTTACAAGTATCTAAGTCAAATCTTTAACATCACATCAAAAAAATCATGACCACTATCTTTTTAAAAGTGAAATGCACCTTTTCATGCATAGATTTATGACACCCAAATGTTGTTAATGTAAATATGGAAATTTGAGTGTTAGATATGTAAATTCTTCAGAATTGTAAACTTCCCTTTTATAAATAATATTCCTGAACGAATATTGTAGTACCACTCTATAATGGTTTAATTTAAAAATTCAATTTTGATGAACCTCTGAATCTGCATTTTGCTTTATTTGTGCAGCTTTACCAGCATATTGTCCTCAGCGGTGGGAGTACCATGTATCCTGGATTGCCTAGCCGGTAAAAAGTTGCCCCAAAGAAATTTTTACTTTTGTAAATATGAAACCTTAGGTGTGAGATATGTAAATACATATGAATTGTGTGCTATGCATGTAAATGCCTGCCCCCTAAAGAAAGGACACACCCTAATAACCCTAATAAGCAAAACCAAATATATCAGAAATTAAAACACATTACACAATTTGAACCTTTACAATTCCAAAGTTGCTGAAGCAAATCTAGAACTTACCCTATACTTGAAAAAATTAAGAGTTTGTTTGTGACCACTTTTATTTTACTTTTTTATTTTATTTGTATTTTGATTTTAATTAAAATGTATTTGGTTGAGATAGTTTTTTTTAAAAAACTTGAAATATCTTTTAGATGTTTTGAATAATTTTAAAAACAAAAAGTAAAATCATATAAAAACTATACCAACCAAACATGTTTTTAAAAATAAAAATAGAAATAGGAAATAAATGTGGTGCCAAACGGAGCCTAAGTTTCCTGCATAGTGAATGATATTGCAAACCTTGCACATTTTTTTCTTACGAGTTATCCGAGCATTTTCAAGTAAAAACTTGACAAAAATGACTTTTGCTATTTCCATTATTCTAGATATAACCTCCAAATCACAATAGAGACATGTTCCTTTTTCATGATTGAACACTTATTTTGCTCTGATTCTAACAGCCTGGAGAAAGAAATACTCGACAGATACCTTGAAGCAGTATTAAAGGGAAACAAAGATGGCCTAAAGGTGATGCTTTTTTTTAGTCCTCCCAATCACGATAATTTCATCACCCGGCATTGTTTCATTCAAGTTAAACTTATTTTACATTCTTCTTCTATAAACATGCTTCTGAATTGACATTCTCAATTCTGCAAGTCAGCGTGTGATATTTAAGAAAGTTTAAATTTTTATTTGAGCTTGAGACTTAGATTAGTTAAAAACATGGCTAAATTATTATAAATTGCAATACTGTCTATCTCATTTCATGTACAGTAATTGCATTTTACATGTCATGACAGAAGCTTCGCTTGAGAATCGAAGATCCTCCGCGAAGAAAGCACATGGTGTACCTAGGTGGTGCAGTTCTTGCCGGAATCATGAAGGTATTATTATTATTATTATTTCAGATAATTGCATACACAACACTCAAAACATTGCTATTTACAAAATTAACAATTAGGTAACTTGAACCACCGATCAAACCTTTGAGAATTTGATAAAAATAAAAAGTAGAGGCAATCACATACAGACCACCCAAAACTTCCTATTTACAAATCTAGCACCCTCTTTAATCGGTTTTTCAAATTCTCACACAAATATCAAAATTCATGGTATCAAAATTCATGGTAAAACAAACCCCAACCCATATTTCTCTATTTTATCAAATTCTCAATAGTTTGATAGTGACACTCGTAATTATATTGGTTTCGTTGTTTAGAAATAACATCTGTTTGGTTAATTTATAAATATCAAAGTTTTGGGTGATCTATTTATAAATTACCCCTAAAAAATATGGGTTGGGTATTTGTCGTGAATTGTAATTTTTGAGTGAGAATTTGAAAAGTGGATGAAAGACGGTGCTAAATTTTTAAATAACAATGTTTTGCTTCACTTTCATTTTGAGACGATGCCTTCATCCATCTTCTTAAAACTACAACCTTGTGTAACAGTCCATGAATTTATTTGTTTTCATCTACCATATCCCTACCAAGGTAGAACTTAAATTTCATGCAAACCTTTTTAGGATGCTCCGGAATTTTGGATTAACAGGCAGGACTACCTGGAAGAAGGGCTGGCTTGTCTGAGGAAATGTGGACAGGTCTGACCATTTTGGAAGAAGTGTAATGTATGCTTTAAAATAATGTTCATTGTTCATATAAGGTGTCAGCTTGTGCTTAGAGGCTTTATGTTTGCTACTGCATCTTAAATGTATGTTCATTCTTGATTAAAATTTACGCTGAGTTTTTATTATATGTTCTTACTGCCTTAAATTTTTCTGGTAGCGGCATATTTTATGTTATATCATAGGAATGAAGGCTATGATTAGTGATAATCAAAATATAGTGAAATCTATAACGTCGTGATAGGATATGTTTATTAATTGGTGAATATATACAAAATACTTGTTTTTATTTGTTATTTATTATTTATTATTTATTTGTTTTATATCCTTGTTGTGCTCTCTATGTTTGTATAGTATCTCACTTAGGGTCCGTTTGAAATCGTTTTCTACGTGCTTTGGGTTTCAGACCGCTACAATAATTTTGTTTGGGGAATTATTTTCTTGCTTCTTTATAGAATTTTTCGTGGTGGGAAGCTATTTTTTTAACCTGACCTGATAAAGTATAGTGGCTTTAAGAAATTTGTTTGATTTTTTAGAAAAAAAGATATATCCTTAGAACCCCCTCTATAGCTTTCTAAGTAGTTTATTCGATCACAATCTTCTGATCACCTTTTCAAAAACATTGCAGCCACCCCCAAATAGACTTTTAGTGGGATAAAGGCTTCTTATTGTTGTTGTATGTTTGTATGGTAGTACGAGGGATGTAATTCTCCCCTCTCTCTCTCTCTCTCTCTCTCTCTCTCTCTCT